CAATCAATCAATAAGATCAAAATGAATACCGATTAGAATCACAAACACTGACCAAAACAACAAAGTACGGAATCAGCCAATAATCACCGTTAGGTAAAAATTGTAAAAATATTTGAAACAATCAGATCTCATCACCGTTATCGTCACCTCACCTTCCCTCTTATTTCAACAGTTCATAGAGCTCTTGATGAATTAATTTTTCACGAGAACTTCGCTTGTGAAAAATCCATTTCAGGATGTTGTTCCATAAACCTGCAATGTACAGTTCATTGGAACATATATAAACACATCACTACGAACACTAACAATACACTTTTGCAATAAACAAATGAAAGTTCTCCCCATGATAAAGCAAAATTTGTGCGATAGGTTCGTGTCATTAAAATTGGCCAGACAAACTTACTTCTTCAAGACATCCTGTTTCTTCTTCTCCTCAGAAGTGGGCAAACCCAATTCTTTTTGACGTTGGTCGTACATCATCTGCAAATCAATCAGTCAATTCTTTTCAATTCTCGAACAGTGCACTTTGATTTTACTAAACATTGGAAATAAGAAACCAAATGAATGAATGATTCAACGTAAAATTATAACCAATCAGTCGTACTTTACTAACTCGCAAATTCAATACATGAAAGATTGCTTGACATAATTTGGAAAATCACTTCACCAAACCATCAACAACTAACCTTTTCAACCATTTGTCTAGTCTCACCATCCAGGTCGGAAAGTTTTGAGTTCTCAGGCTGAACTTTTTTTGTGTTTATCTCTGGATCAGTCTGTACCAGTTTATTCCACCATTCCATTCCATTCATCTGAACACATTTTACTGTTTGGATACACCTGATAAGATTGGATGGATCACGTAATACTTATATTCTGTTCACAAAAAATGCTACAAATACAGAGAACAACATAATAATTGAGTGGGAATCAATTTTGACTCAAAGCAACCTTCTCGAAGTTGATTACAACAGTTTTTTTATCTTCCAGAATCCAAGTAGCACTTTCGGTTCTGATCTCAGATCTCAATGTACCATTCAACACCGGTTCATGCCCCTGTAACAAGGAAGTTCTTCATGACATCGTTAAATGTTCATAATTGATGATGATTAAACAGCATTATGAATGA